TTTTTTCTCTTCATTTGTGATTTAGTAATGGAAAAGACGCACAATAAACAATTCCCGGCCTAAGAAAATTAACCAAAATATTTCAAAAAACTATGTAACATTAAGGAGAAAAGGGGCACAAGATTCAAGTATTTAGTCTTATGAACTGAGGCTATAGCGAAAATATCCGAAAGGGACCGCGCTCTTCCGAAGGTATGAATCAACAGCACTACCAGATACTTATAACTATCAACAAGCTCAGACAATCAGTACCTCTCCAAATTACATCATTTTCGGGAACAAGTTACCAAGAAATTCACGGAATATCAAGTTCAACAAAGGATTAAACAATACACGCGGCAGCAGAAAAGTGCGATAGGGCACTGGAAAAAGTTTGAAATATGGTGCAAAACATATTCAAACAGACCGTGTGCTCACGTCCCCTAACGCCCGTGATGGGCGGTCCGGGGACGCATGATGAATGGCTGAGGGGAGCATTGAAGAGTATAGCCAAATGCCTAGGGGGCATCGCATTGCTTTCGACAAGTGTCGTCAAGGAGCTGATCAAATCACGAAAAATTTAGAATTGAGCAGAACTAGAACATTATAGGATTAAATCTCCGTTTTTCTCACGCTTATAACAATATTTGATTGTTATCAGAGCAAGCCGAAAGCTCGCCACCCACGTCTTGCGAGGTTAAAAAATCGTCCAATGTTTTGGTGGGATTGAAGGTTCCAGTTAAACAAGTAAATGTAATATTTATTTATTTCAATACACCGAAGTGCACCGAAAAAAATGAAAATAGAAACAGTTATCATGCACAAGCAGTCACATCTCAGATAAACTAGGTTCTGGCTTCTACTTAGAGTGGTCAGGTCATTCTCCTTCTCCAGAAGTTGACGGATCCTCTGCCGAGTTCCTGTTCCCAAACCTAGATGCAGGCTTATGTAAGCGATTACCAGGGCTTGGTAGCGCAAAATAACCCGGGGCGAACAAATTCGAGGGACCCTGGGCGAAAGGGCAGGGAGATTTCAAGAAAGAGGGTTTGCCAGCTGTCGTTTTTCTTAAACGGCAATTCTCGGTATGAAGAAATACTATAAGAACGGGACTTTTAAGTGGATTACAAAATCTTACATTATAAGGACAGTGAAATAAGTACGAAGAACAACAGAGGAATACGAAAAAGCTCTTACAACCAATTTGACATTGCAACAATTCTATTGATATAAAACCATACTATCCATGGCGATGTAGGTGATGGAACCAATCAAGAAGCCGAATAGCAGAGCTGTCAGAAAGTTGCGAACGTGTGACTTAAAAATCACCAATTCTTAAAACGCTAAGAATATCTATAGAAACAATATAGAAGAAAATAGATATATAGAATATCATTAAGTAAACATTTGTGGTAATTATCAGTGGTTTTGATGAGTTGGCATTGGTGACAAACAAGTATAACTGGGTAAAAACAAAAAGTCTAGTTGCTTCTGAAAATGTATGAAATGTTTAATTTTATATACGAGTGCCAAGATTGCAGGGAACCGCATGGGCACGTGACCATAGAATGACTGGTAGCAAATGGGATAAAGAATCGGACTTCATGTTTCACAACTGGAAAATGAAATATCGAAAAAATCGCAAGGACATTCCCACTTCGTAAGCCTTTTTTTTTTGAAGTTTTGAGAATATCATATTGAGTGTACACTTCCTAAAATGGCTGCGTTTTCACAGTGTTCTTTCATTTGGGATTTGGGTAGTCACTTAAATTTTCAAACATGCCATAGAACACTGGGTTTCTTGACTAGTTATGAACTATTAAAAATACTAACTGTTCGAGGCAAGAATCGTTGGCATAGGTACTCGCACTTCACTTAGACCAAACTCACCCTGCTTGCAGTATTTCTTATCTTTATTGCACCTTCACATTGAGGCATGAGTCAATATCTTCAAACATTAGATCCATTTTTGCTTGTGCTCTTTTCAATGAAGTTTGCTGTAGCTTTCTTAATTTTCGAAAAATCGTCGTAAATGGCCAATTTCGAATAACGCAGATTTTCTCAAGAAAAAGCGTTCCTTCACTCTTCTCCTTTTGTATGTAAAAAGTCCAGAATACGTAGCTAAACTCTAGATTTTTCAAAGTAGTTAAAAACAAACACAGTTTGTTGTAATTTTTATCTTAATGAAAGTTTGGTAATTCCTTCTGTATACTTTGGTACCGTAAGAGAACCATGAAAATTCTGAACTCCGCTGATCTCACTCTATCAAGTATCTGCCAAGGTGGTTAAACATCCGCTATCATTATCCAAAATTAGCCGCACTAGAACTTTTTTGCTAACATAGTGCTACAAAATGTTCTGAGTGCTTCCCAGTTGCATTTATTTTATTCTTATTGCACTTATTTTAGTAAAGAATCTGGAAGATATGAGGATTTTTCCGCTTGGTACAATCCATTTGTTGGCAATTTCAATTTGGATCTGTGTTCGCCAGGGTAAGAATTACGTACGTTCTACTGTATTTAAAAATGTTACAGAAGCGAAAGTTCTCATTAGTGAAGTAGATTTCGAAAACAAAGGGAACCATGTTAGCAACTGTAAGGGCAGCCATAAGTTAATTAGAAGAAAACTCTTCCAGATTTCTAATATAGTAGTTAACTATGGAGTTATCACTACTAGCCTATGTTCAAACATTTTTTTTGCTCTTACTGATGTACAAGTTTAGCAAAGGAGACTAGATAAAGCTTCCATTTATTCAAGAAGATATGTTCTAAAAGAATAGAAACTTTGCTTTGCAGAAATCTGACGTGGCATTATGATGTTGATCTAATCGAACCTCACGACATGATTGAAGCTTTACTGATGGAATATGAAAAGAAGGTTGACAGTATAAAAGCAAAAGTGCTTAGTAAACTTCAACAAATTTCCTCTTTGTCTAATAGTGCAGGTGATATTGAAAATAAGTTGAACAAAGTTTTATCATCAATGAATCAGACGTGGGAAGCATATGTGATCTAAGCGGTTCAAGAAATAATTTGAGCTTCAAGGTCAGAGCAAAACTAAAGGCTGTCTCAAACCAAAATGATCTTTCCTGTAGAAGGTAGGCTACGTAACGGCCCCCGCGAGAGATCTGCGCTACGCTTTCGTCAGCAGAACTTTGGCAAATTGCTACATAGCAGCTAATACTAGCTGGTTTTGTCGCATGGTTTTTAAGCTTATTTTCTTGTTTTTTCCCTAATGGTTACATCTCGAATGTGCCAAAACGCCAAGATTACACTTTGCAAATGTGGCGCGATCACACGCGGTGCAGTTACGCAACTTTAAGCTCGAGGAGTAACCTTCAATTTGAAGTAGTCTGCATGTCTGTATATTGTTCCAGCTTCCCAGATTTATTTGTGGTTCAAATAATGCTTTATAATGTCGTTGTTTTTATCTCGTCAGATGTTTCGACATATCTGAACGTCTTCCTACCCCCAGTTGTAAGCTGCAAACGCACATTCTAGAAGAAAATGTTATGATTGTAGAATTTAAAAGATTGGTGTTTATTTCTTCTTTCTCTTGTTCCTCCGTGCCTTCTTCTATCCACCAATGGACTGCTCTTTCCTAGAACCTCTCTTATGATTTTTATCAGCACTTGCCCAAATGGCTAACTTCTAACAGTGAATTGTTATCTTGAGTTAGTTAATTTGTTTCTGTGTTATGCTATGTTATTATGCTATTGTATGACAATGCAATTATGAGGATAAATTTATATATAATTATATCAACTCGATGCCAATGATTTACTCCTTTATCGAAAGATGGACGGGTTTGAATACCTACACAAATATCAATACCTCTACTCACACAATCACCTTATTTTAAATGAGTTTTAGTGAATCGCATTCTTTGCATAATGTATCCTGCTAATCACAGCTATGTTTGTAACTTGTGTTCATAGCTTCTTCGTATTCTATATTGTTTTTTTTTTACATTTTCTGATAGTAAAGAGAATAAAAGTACAAAAAGTTTGTTATAAGCTATATTTGGTTGAGTTATAGTTGCCATGCTTGAACTTCGAACAATGTTACGGTAAATTCTGCATCTTTAAGCTCGTAACTTCGAGACCTTTGTTAGTAATTATATTATATTTTTAATTTGGGGAACATAGTGTCTGTTTTAGAATGCTATAAATGCTAACAACCTCTCGATGACACTTTCTTTTTTGAAATTCATGCAAAATCTAAAAAGTTGGTCAAGGCTTTCGATACCAGTGTTTGGATGAATGCAACAGAGTCAACCTACATACTCAATATGATCAGATGACATCAGGTGTTCTGAAACTGTAGACATGCTCGAAAGTCGAAGAATTATTTGCCAATGCCGTTGCTAGGTAAGTTTGGACTGTTCAAGTAATACAGTGTAGCTGTATTTGCTTAGAACCGTCTATTTCTAGCTAATTTGTGTCAGCAATCCATTCAGGTTCTCATAAATTATTAGTAATTTTTCAGTAAGGCGTTATAGACTTTCAAATGATGAGAATTTTCCCATTCAACATTAGCTGACATTTATTGACAGTCTTGTTACACTGAACAAAGTAATATCACTTATCTTTAAATAAAGACGGAGCGAGCGCATATGGGAAAGGCAGAGCTACTGCAAAGATTAAACACTCTTTTACAAAAGCGTATATTATTGATCTAAAATGCGAATTAAATATTTCAACCCTAGTTTTTCATTAAATTTCCGATTCCACGCAGCATATGGGGGAGATTAATAAGAATCTCAAGTTTAGGAACGCCGAACTGCCGAGACAAAGACTCGGGATTTGACGCATCGCGTAAAATGCCTTTAATCGTACGGTTAACCGATTTATGCGTAAAAAAACTGATATCCTTGAATGTATATAAACTGAACAGTGTTTTATACGAAATCATCTCAAGCTTCTCGCCCTTTAAGGTAAGCAGCTTTTCTATTCTAAGCCACTACTTTTCATTTATTATATTGGTCTTCAGCATGTTCAAGCTCGCCGCTGTCGCATTTGCCTTATTTGCTTCTTGTGATGCCTTTGGATTCGGTTTAGGAGGAGGTGGTGGAGGCGGTTGTTGGTAAGGAAATCTGAACCGTTTTTGTATTATTGATCTCATAAATCTACATAATCTTTCCCCTTTCTTAATTATCTTATAATTCTTCTTCAAGCCCACCACCACCATGCTGTCCACCACCAGTATCATCATGCGGAGGAGGATGTCCTCCACCACTACCATGTGGAGGCGGAGGTGGCGGATGCGGTGGAGGAGGCGGTGGTGGCTATGCCGCTCCCCTACCAGTCTATGCTCCTCCTCCTCCTCCATCATACCCATCAGGTGGCTACGCAACAGGCGGTAGCTACTCATCAGGAGGTGGCTACTCATCAGGAGGCGGTGGCTACTCATCAGGAGGTGGCGGCTACTCATCAGGCGGCGGCTACTCATCAGGTGGTGGCTCATCTGGTGGCTACGCTGGATCCAACGGTGGTGGTTACGCATCATCAGGAGGCGGCTACGCTGTTGGAAAGTAGAGAATTTATAGCTTTATTTGTAGTGACATATATTGCATATCTGTATATTAGGAAGAATAAATATTAGGTCTAAGTCATCTTCTATTACATCACCCAAAAAATAAGATCTTCCATCTACGTCCTATGTAAGGTATTTTTACTCAAACACAATCGACTGTCTGACTAGATACATCAACTTGTCGATCTCTTAGGTATCTATACAAAGGAGTGGACATTCAGTGTTCTAATTCAAGTGCCTAGAATTTTACAATCGCGGCATTGTCATAGGCATCCTTTCATCGCAGCGCTAAGAATTTTCGAAAAGTACTCAAATCAAAAAAAAAATTGCTAAGGTTCTGATAAGTCATTCAAGTCTAAGGCGCTTTCCATAACCTTCAAGAATTTACACTGTTTGTGTGCTAGGGTTTCACTTTAAAAGATTGAAGATCTTTAATACTTATTCAAGCTAGGAATAATTGTAATACATGTATGAATGCAAATAAGCAGTTTGGCGAAAAGGCCTAGTTTCAAATCATACATATTTTTATCCTTGCACGTTTGCAGTCGTATACCTATTGCGGGAGGTTTTTAACTAAGGCTGCAATCCTTTATCAAGTTTCGAAGTTCATGCTTTCTTACAAAATCGAAATCTCGTTGAAACATGGTGTCAGGCATAAGAGTGTGGCAGGTTTGATTTTTGTATTGAGTTTTAAGAAACCATTGAATTTAAGAAAAGTACGTACCTATATCAAATGAAAATATAAATGTACAAATAAAGAAATGTTTTTAGAGCAGTTGTTTAAACCTGGATATCTGCCACTAATTGAGAGATGAAGGTTTGATAAAGAAGGGAAAAATTATTGCAACCCTTCGATATTTCAACATACTGTGTAGCATTTCTTCCTACCAGAAGAATAAACATATA